ACTACGGCCGAGGGCCCAACGTGCAGCTGCGTGACGTACAAATCAGCCCTGTCCGCCTTCGACTTGATATCGAGGGCCTCGGTATTTAGCCAGGTATACCCCTCTGGCATTTCAACAGGCCCCCCAGCACCAGCGGCAACACCCTTCTTCTTGGGGGCAGCCCTCTTCGACTTCATCTTCTTTTTATTACCGGGGGCTATCCTCAGAGGCGTCGGGTCCAACGGCCTGGAGGTACTGGGCTCACCACAGTCAGTCCGAGGGGGTGGCACAGCAACAGTAACCGTCATCGCCTCCTTTTGGGCTTCGTCCTCCGCCACCTGATACGCGAGGGCTAATTCTTCGTCTTCGCACTCCTGTTCGAAGCCCTCGGCTTCCACTTCAGCAGCAAGGGTCTTCTGCAACTCCAAGGCCACGGCTTCATCATCAGCAACCGAGGGCGCACTGCTACTTGACTCAACATCGGAAGCAACCTCGTCCTCAACCGAGGGCTCCCTCGAGATATTCTGCGAGTCGCTTTGAGACGACATCCTTGGTGTACTTAGGCTAAGAATCCTAAATCGAGGGCTCTCTACAAGGCTATAACACCTAACCTAAGGCCAGGGAGCAAAATTTAACGAAAAACGGTGAGGAACGAAGGGAGAACTGACCTCTGAAAGTGCTATGATCGAGGGTGATTTTCTCTCTCTAGAAAGATTCCGACACAGCTTCGCTAGGACAGGTGATCGCGCAAGAAGAAATGACTCTGGCTCCGGGGTATTTATAGACTCCAGAGTCCAGGCTTGGGCCCGAAAACTGGGCCTCCGGCCAAGCGTCATCATTACACACCGTCGTTTCACCCAACCGGTGACGCCCGCCCACGAGCAGCCAACGGCTACACTCCACGTGTACCCCCCCCCCCCAACGGCTATAAACCTGACGTTACATATTCCAACGGCTATATTTCCAACGGCTATATTCTGGAAGCCCCCGGGTTTTCTACTTCACTCCACTTCATCAAGGAGAGCCCCCGGGTACAATTACCCAGAGACGCCCCCGGGTTGTGTCCCACACAACACATAACAGACGCCTTCGGGATCACTCCTTCAGAAACCCAGGGCTTCCTATCAGGGCACCCCTCGGGGATTCCCCCTCAGCACTGTAAAACCGGGTAGCCCCCGGGTATTGACGGATAGCCTACGGCACACAGGTAATGGGAACCCCCGGGTATCTTCATTACCAACTAATCAACAAACAGTGGACCCCCCGATAACAACTCCACTGCTGCCCTCATCCATCAGGCCCTCGATCCCCAGATTGAGGGGCTCCCCTTCGGCACCCCCAGGACATCAACAGCAAGCCTTCGGCTAATCAACACATGAGCCCTCAGAAAAAGAAGAGCCTTCGGCGTTACCGTTATTCTCCACTTTTGACCAAGGTTTCACATTTTCGATTCATCATTGGGGGAATTCGGTGCACTCTTTTTCCCTCATTAGGATTTTTTCCCACAGGGTTTTTCCTAATGAGGTTTTTAACGAGGCATCCCCCCAAAATGAAACGAAAAGTGTCAGCCTTCGGCCCACAACAGCAACACAACTACTCTACTCCTTTTCACCACTTTACAAGTGCCTCAAGGAGTGGGGGACTGGAGGACCCCCTCGGGAAAATCATTAAATTACAAAATTGGTGAAAAATTCCAACAAACAACAAAGCAAGCCCTCAAGTCCCGACATGTGGGTAACTGAGGGACTGCCTTCGGCAGGGACATAAAAGCAACAACTCCTCACCAACTTCAGAGATCACGGCAGGACAACATCAAAGGGCAAGCACAGATTACTCTTTTTCCCTCAAATACCTTTCGGCAAAAAGAGTGAGGGACTCCTGATGGAGTATATGGCCCGGGAACACCCGACCCACAGACTCCTACTACTCCAGTAGAGGCCCAACAGGCCCAGAAGGCCCAACAGGCCCAAATCACGGCGCCCAGAGTGCCAAGCAGCCCGCAATACGCACCAGGGGTGCCTTCGGCCCCCTGGCCGAAGGCTCCAAACTATCACATCATGGATATTTCGAACAAACAGAGGAACTGGAAGAAAACGGCGAAAACAGTAGCCCTCGGGACCTGGAGCCCTCGGGACTCAGGGGTCCTCGACACCAAGAGCCCTCGGCTAGTCCTCTGCAGCCGAGGGCACCTCTCCCGACATGGTATCCGCCTCACATGCGTACAGATCGCCGTGCCCTGTACAGACGTCCCATCCAACAGTCGCATTAAATGCGGCCACATGCGGCTGCCAACGCCAACCAGTTGGGGTGACCTCTCGGCCAATGGGCGCTTGACACGTGTCCCTGTCCGGCATTTATTGCTACTATAAATAGCACCCCATTTCCCCATTTGTAACAACGACATTCATACTGAATACACTCTCTCTCTACATTTACTTGCTCTGACTTCTCTCTAAGTTATTCCCAGCAATAACCCCTCGGATATTTACCCCTCGGGTAGACTATCCATCATATATATGTACATATATACATATATGTATATATATATACATATATATATATATATATATATATAAAAATGGACGAAATTACTGAGGCAGATTGCTAGGGGCCGAGAAGGGGCAACCACATGGCCGACATCAGCCAACCCGAAAGAAGGCCGTTGAAAGCGATCACCTGAGTGTGTTCAAGCACTTAGAAAAATTTCTAAGTGTTTGAAGAAATCCTTGAGTAGCACCCAGAGCGGCCGACATAGACAAGGATCCAAGTTGTCCAACACTTGAGAAATTTCCAAACACTTGGAAGAATTCCAAAGGGGCACCTCCCACAGCCGACAAAGGCACTGAGGCCGAACAAAGGCCCTACACTCCCGTCGTCCCGAAAGGAGTGGACACATACTCCAAGCTCAAATTACAGAGACAAGGAAGACACCCCCCAGCCGAGGAAAAGACAAGAACTTTCATCGGCCATGACTACGAAGAACAAGATTGAGGGTTCTTGTTCGACACTTAACCACAAATAAAACAAGAGGAATGAGGAATGACACGACGATGGCCACACGATGGACGAAACTACAAGCTATCCACACGGGCCATAGTGGCCGTAGTGGCCGACGAAGGCCCCAAAATAAAGCAACTACTTAATTTGAAACTTAGAAAATTTTCTAAATATTTTCTAAGTATTTTGGCTCACGAAGTCCACGTGAACAGAGGATAAGGGGGGGTAACGCCGAGACGAAGCGAGCACTCATACTTAAGCTACCCGCTTTGGCCACAACCAGAGGGCAATCGAAGAAGACGATGACCCAACTCCCAACACAATCGGACACATCTTGTAACAAAAGCGAGAAAAGAAAAAAAACAAGACGACATAGTAAAACATGAAAGCCGAAAAGAGGCATATTGTCATTCACAAAAAAGGTACAAAGGGGGGCTTCATGGCCGTTACATTTTAAGTAATCAAGGAAACATAGTAGTGATGGATCATGACTCCCGCAGGGCTTCTGAGTTCCCTTCAACACCGGCCTTCTCTTCATTTTGAGTAGTGTTTCCCCATCGGCAGCGGCACCGAACGTAGCAGTGTCCTCAAACATACTTGGCTCATAAGTCCAATCGTCACTGGCCTGGGAGCTCTCGATGGGGAGTTGCCTTTCCATGACAGGGAGCTCCATTCGGCTTCAGGATGCCTCATCATCGGAGGCAGGTCCAGGCCGACGGCCCACTCCTTGGCAACGCCCAGATCCAGGAATCGACGTTGGAGCCTCCGATAAAGCAACCACTGCATCCTGTACTGACCAAGGTCGTAGAAGACCTTCATCTCCTTCTCCCAGTACGCTTGGCCGTCAGGGCATTTATTGACCCAGTCAAGGAGCTTCGCTGCCACGACGTCAAAGCACCAAGGAAGCCGATCCTCGCCTTTCCAGCCGACCTCAAGGAACTTCTGCACAGCGGCCTCAACGGCCTCAACGGCCCTCTCTTCGGCAGCACTCAAGGCCTACATTGCATCGGCCTTACCCTTCTCGGCCTCCTCGGTGCGGCGAAGGGCTTCATCACGAGCTCGCTCTGCATCGGCGAAGTGCTGAAGGGCCCCATCTTTCTCAACGGTGAGCAGATCAGCCTCATCCGCCTTTTTCTTCAGGCCCTCCACCTCGAGCCGCAACCTCTCCAAACTGCCTAGAGCCTCATCGGCCGAAGCCACCTTCTCCTCGATCTGCTTCAACCGAGCAATCTCCCTTTGTTGCCTTCTGTTGTTCTCCATCAACATAAAGGCACCCTGCAGGAAAATAGTGGTTAGACGACACTAACACATACAATAAAGAAAAAAGGGGGTGGAGACGAAGCAGACAGAGAAAGCTTACTTGGACAATGTGGTCCATCCCATCGTCGTAGATTTTGACATTACCGAGCTTTTTCAGATAAGCCCGGTCCTCGTCGGGGATGGCCTTGGAGATCACCTCATGGCCATCAACAATCTCGTTGAACAAACCACCCTTAACGGGGTATTCAACCTCAAGCTTATAGGTCCCCTTGACCAACTCTCGGTCAGACCCTTTCTTCCGGGGAGCTGCAGCACCATCAAACACTTCAACTAGACCTTCTAAAGGAGATTTAACCGGATAAGATCAAGCTTAAACATGATCAGACTATGAAAACAATTAAAAAGAACCCTAGAATGTAATCAAATTATATTTGGTTGCTAGATTACCGGTAAATTGTATTTTACCCACAAATTGACAAAATCTTTGCTGGATTTTAGCCGAAAATACTCTCGATTTTTTGACTCAAGTAGGAGCATGGGAGGCGTGACAAAGTTCAGACGTGAAGGAGGTACTTAGAGGAAAATCTAAAAACCGAAACCCGAAAAAACAAAGCAAACAACAAATGAAAAAACAAAATCACAAGATAAGACCAGTTTGGATTTTAGAAAGGAATCAGTAGGCCCCACACTGAAACAGTTTCTTTGGACCGTCTCCTTTTGTTTGTCGTTTCTGTCGCCTCCCCTCCGTCTTTCACCGTCGTCTCTTTCCGTCTCTCACGCCTTTATAACTTCTCTCTCCCTTTCACAACTTCTCAGTCCTCCCCCTTCTTCACCCCCCTCCTAAATCGTGTCTCACTTCAACAACAATCTATTGTGTCTCTTCTTGTCGGAAATTAAAATTGAGCACTTTTTGATTTCACAACTGTCTTTTCTTCTCCTTCTTCTTGTTCTTCTGCTTGGCCTACAACTCTGTTTCTGCGATCCCTGTTCCGTTATGAGCCTTTCTCCAAGCTGATCGTTCATTCCCAAGCTCGATCAGTTCTCCGTTCAAGAAAAGTTTGGTTCTTTCCGACCCACCGCCATGGTCGACAGCAACGCCGTCGACTCTAATGAATGCAAGGTTTGTATATCACAAGAGGGTGCTCGAATTTTTAGTTCCATGGACTGATTTGGGGATTTGTGTTGGTGGGTCGACCCTACTCTTTCTCCAGAAAGTTGTGTTTTTTAAGGACCCCCATGCTTGATCTGTCTCAAAGATTGAATCTTTTCATTTGATTTGATGATTTAAGCTTTATTTGTGTATACCCAGTGTTCTTTCTTGTGTTTTTTCAATTACCCACCTTTTGTTTTATGTTCTTTCCTCTTGGGGTCTGGGAACCTGTTGGTTTGCTTTTCAATTTTCTTTCTTTTTCTGGGTGTATGCCTAAGTGTTTCCAGTTTTTTCCATTCTTGGAGACTTTAGCGGTAGCTACAAACAATTCTAGTGTTTTTCTCTTTTGTTTCTGACTGCTGTGTTTTTTTGTTGTTGTGCTTTTGTAGAAGGTTGTTCCCCTCAACACATGGATTCTGATATCCAATTTCAAACTTGCTTACAACATGCTTAGACGGCCAGATGGTACGTTTAACCGTGATTTGGCCGAGTTTCTTGAAAGGAAGGTCCAGCCGAACACGATCCCGGTCGATGGGGTCTACACTTTTGATGTTTTGGACCGGGCCACAAATCTCCTTAGCCGAATATTCAGACCCGAACCGGAGAATGAGGCTGATTGGGGCAAAGTTGATCTTGAGAAGCCTTTGAGTACCACCGAGATTGTTCCCGTGATCATCTTCTTCCATGGCGGGAGCTTCACTCATTCTTCCGCGAATAGCGCCATTTACGACACATTTTGTCGCCGCATTGTCAAGATTTGCAAGGCCGTGGTGGTTTCCGTTAACTATAGGCGGTCGCCGGAGCATAGGTACCCTTGTGCTTATGATGATGGGTGGACGGCTCTTAATTGGGTTCATTCAAGGCCGTGGTTGAAGAGCGGGGAAGATGGTAGGGTCCACGTCTACTTGGCGGGCGATAGTTCTGGTGGGAACATCGCCCACCATGTGGCGGTGAGGGCTGCAGAGTCAAATGTAGATGTGTGTGGCAACATACTCCTCCATCCAATGTTTGGTGGGAAGAAGAGGACGGAATCAGAGGCGCGTTTGGATGGGAAATACTTTGTTACGGTTCAGGACCGGGATTGGTATTGGAGGGCCTATTTACCCGAAGGGGAAGATCGGGACCACCCGGCTTGTAATATATTCGGGCCTCGGGGAATAAGCCTTGAGGGGTTAGATTTCCCAAAGAGCCTTGTTGTCGTGGCGGGCCTTGATCTATCACAAGATTGGCAACTAGCTTATGTTGAAGGGCTTAGAAAGAGTGGGCAAGATGTGACGCTGTTGTTTTTAAAGGAGGCGACGATCGGGTTTTATTTCTTGCCGAACAACGACCATTTCTTCACTCTCATGAAGGAAATAACCCATTTTATTCATCCATCTTAACTCTTCATAGGTTAGAAGAGGATCTGCAGAATGACTTGTTAGTTTTAGGACTCTTGCAGAAAATGTTCAAAGGTTGAGTTGGTTGTGACCTTTGGATGTGGGCAGAAGCAGCCGGTTTTGAGCTTTCCTGGTCTCTATTTATCCGTATCTAGAAGTAGTAACCCACCTTATGAGTGGTTTGGTTTTTCAGCTTAAAAAAAACTAATTTTAGAATATGGATTTGGGAGAGTCCATGCTGTTGTAAACATGTTTATGTATACATGTGCATTAGAAAGTCTTTCGTTTGTAGTATTTCCCTTTCCCCATTACTACCATAAAACATTTAGTCTTTTATATGTGTATATATATATATTCATATTTCAATATGGTGTAGTGATTTGTCCCTCTCCAATAATGGTGCACTATCCAAACGTACTTCTTGAAGTTGAAAGCAGACTAGATATAGTCCAGTGTCCACCATTATTGGCATATATAAACTGTGATAATTGTGTGTCCAAGTGTATTGTGTCATCCCATCTCGCATGGGGGCATGAGACACCAAGGGCTACTTTGGTAAGTACTCACTCTTATTACATAACATAATTTTCTTTGAAAGAAGGATATAAATATAACTCTAGCTTTTATGGAAATATGAATATGATTAGATTTTCTTTTCCAAAAAGTGATTAACCTAAATTTCTTCACTCAAACTCACCCAATTACCCTTTAAGCTCATCCATTGACACTTGCCTCATGCCACATTGCCATTCCGGTTGACCGGAGAACCACTCGATTTTTGTTCTTTTTATTTTTGGAAATTTTGATAAAAAAAAGGTTGGTGACAATCACAATGACATATTCATAGGTTGAATTAACACTAGTGGCAGCGACAATGAGACTAGTGAAATGGATGTTGTGGCCTCAAAAAACCGGGAATTACGTGAAATGGATGTTCATAATGTTTTCATACATGGCACTTATTTGTCACACTTCCCTCGGGGTATCATTCTACGGATCCGACACTTATTTGTTGCCTCCATAAATCTTAATATGGTCTCAAACAATTTTCGCGGTGCTGGTTTGCTAAATGGTCACGACTTTTAAAGCATATGGTTTTCTCAATCCTATGCTGATTATTCACTTTTTACTCACACCTGTGATCAAGAGCAATTTAATGTTCTCATTTATGTAGATGACCTATTAATATCTGGAAACAATTTTGTTGCTCTTCATGCTTTTAAAGCAAATTTGAGCTCTTGTTTTCACATGAAAGATCTAGGGCACCTTAAATAGTTTTAGGCATTGAGGTGGCCCGCAACCCTGTTGGGTTATTTCTTACACAACGAAAATACCGGATATTATTACCGAAACCGAACTGCTAGGAGCTAAGCCGACAACCTCTCCGATTGAGTCTAATCACAGACTCTGTCATCAGACTGACGCTCTTCTTCCGAATCTAGAGCCTTATCGATGCCTATTGGATCATCTGATCTATCTATCAGTCACACACGTCCCGATTTATCTTATTCGGTACGTATTTTATTCCAATTCATGCAAAAACCACAACAAGTTCATTGGGATGCTGCTTTGCGGATCGTCCGCTATTTAAAGGGTCATCCCTTGTCAGGGCATCCTTTTGCGGGCTAATAGTGCTCTAACCTTGTTGGGATTGTGTTTCTTGATCATTCTCTGATCTCATGGAAAACCAAGAAACAACATATTGTACCCCCTATTCATCGACTGAGGTCGAATATCGCTTCATGGCAGCCATTACTAGTGACTTAAGTGGCTCAAGGCCTTGGTTCTCAACTTAAGAATCCAACACCGCCAAACTATACCTTTCTTTTGTGATAGTCAATCTGCCCTGCATATTGCAAAGAATTCGGTTTTTCATGAATGCACAAAACATTTCGAGATTGACTTTCACTTTGTAGGAGATGTTATACAAGCAAATGTGATCCCACTCTCTTACGTCCCAATCACTTTTCAACTCGTAGACATTTTCACCAAAGCTTTGGTAACAACTCAATATCAGTTTCTTCTTCACAAGTTGGGATATTAGACTATATATATATATATATATATATATATATATATATATATATATATATATATATATATGCGCGTGTGTGTGTGTGTCTTTAATTTTCAATTATTAGATGGTTCAATTGTTTGCTATTGGCTTGTACGTTTCCCTTATAAGCTTGTGTTGAGGTTTATTCCTTCAACCCGTAGGCCCAACACGTGTCGTAAGGGTTTCAAATGGAAGGGTAAGTGAAAAGATGAAGAAACAAGCAAGGAAGGCCCAGTAAGGAGTCTCAATACAGTAAATCGATTACAAAGCTGAGAGGCCGTTCGTACGATGCTATGCTATGTGCTGATACAATCGTTAGAGAGCTAGAATACTAAAATGTGAACCCTTTACAGTGAAATAAATGCTTCTATTTATACTACCACGGGGTAGTTGGATGCGTTGACGTGGATGGCTGTGGACGTCTCGATCCCAACCACCAAATCTTCTGCATTAAATGCACTTCCCGCCAGGATCTTGGTTTACCGGCAAGGGGCGGGGACGTTCGTCCCCACGCACTTGCCTCTTGTTTCCTGCTGGAATCTTGGCTTCACGTCAGGGGGTGGGGACGTTCGTCCCCACGCACTTGCCTCCTGTTTCGTACTAGAATCTTGGCTTCACGCCAGGGGGTGGGGACGTTCGTCCCCACGCACTTGCCTCCTGTTTCGTACTAGAATCTTGGCTTCACGCCAGGGGGTGGGGACGTTCATCCCCACGCACTTTCCTCATGTTTCCTGCTGGAATCTTGGCTTCACGCCAGGGGGTGGGGACGTTCGTCCCCACGCACTTGCCTCTTGTTTCCAGCTGGAATCTTGGCTTCACGCCAGGGGTGGGGACGTTCGTCCCCATGCATTCGGGCCAAGGTACCTGCTGATGATAGGATATGTACGCCCCTGATCTTTCGTCTTGGACCTTCTGGAGACGTTCGTATGATGCACGTAAGAGTATATGGGTCATCCCCGTTGGGCCATTAACCCAACAGCTTGCATTATACAACAGCCCCTGATGGCTCAAAATACACACCGTGAGATAATAAAGAAACACGATTTCATTACCCGCACGGGTAGCTCAGTTGGTCGAGTGGTGCGAAAATTGGACCAAGTGACCAAGGTTCGAAACCCGTAGCGACCGTGTGGAGGTTACAAAACCTGAAATAAAGCTGAACTTCTGGTGCGCACGTGTATAAGACCTACCGCCGCTTTGCTGACTGAGTCACCGTGATTAACCTCCTCACCATCTTGTCGGGTCGAGGTGGGGGCCTTGAGGTTGGGCATTCAACCTTTTGGAGAAAGAAACACAATTTCATTCTCTCTTCACAATTTATAACAATTTCGATTGGCAATTTGGCCGCGCAACCACTCGAATGTTATTGTTCTTTTTGTTTTTGGAAATTCTGATATAAAAAGGTTGCTGACAGTCACAATGACATATTCATAAGTTGAGTTAACATGAGTGGCAGCAACAATGAGATTGGTGAATTTTTTTCACTATAGTCATATATAAAGAAAGTATGTTTTTCTTTTTATTAAAATTTGTAAATAATAATAAAAGTAAATATAATTTGCAAATTTAGGATACAGTAAAGTAGTGTGATTTTTAAGAAAAGTAGAATTATGTGATTGATAATGAATTGATAAGGTGATAATAAAGTAAAAATGAATAAGAGTCACATAAATATTTTAACATGTGAAATGAGACAATTTGGACGGAAAATGAAAAATCGGACAATTATAGTGAGATAGAGGGAGTTATAGAAAACACCTTTTAATTTGATTTTTGCTTCCCCTTACGAGAAATGACCTTCCTCGATCTAATATATAGGCTATGTTTAGCAGGCATAAGTCTCTACCTTCTAGTTTTTGTAATGTTCAAAAAGCCTCTAAAAGCTTCTAATTATATGTTTGGCATGACAATTTTTAAGAGTTTTTCAAAAATTAAAAGATCCTTTTTGAGATGCTACAGGGAGTAGCATTTAAAAAAAGTCTGTGACTTTTAGTATTAATCAGTGCTAACAGCTTGTATATCAAACTGAACTACATCAAACGGTCAGCTTTTTACCAAACAACTACCGCTTTTTCTCTTTAAGATCTTTTCAGTCATTAAAAGTAACAGTTATTAAAAAATTCACAAAAGTATCTTTTTAGCTAGTTGTGCCAAACATATCCATATTCCTTCTATTTCTAAATAATTGTCTGAGGCTATCTCAAAATAATTTTCTTGCCGGTTGTACGAAGTAATCATTTTTAGGATTTCACTTGTATATATTTGTAACAAAATGCATTTCATCCTCGATTGCTCCTAGAATAGGCCAAGTAATTGTTGGGTGTGTTTCGGAAAAACGAAGAAATATTAATTCATCATCATTTTCATTTACCCCAGTACCGCAAAGGCTCCCACCTACGGTGGGGTAAGGGGGGGTCGGATGTATGCAGTCTTACCCCTGTACTAAAGCACAGAGAAACTGTTTCCGGATGACCCATAGTGAAAATCGCGTCCAAAATTGCATGGACTGACTGCTTCTCCATAACAAAGAAGCGCAGACAGTTTAGTGAGCCATTTTGCTTTATTCCATCATAATCTCAAGCCAAAAAATAATGAATCTTTGGCTCCATTGCAAATGATGGAATATTCCGAAGAAATATTAATTAAATAAAATTAATTAATAAATAAAATAGCTAAAAGAAAACATAAAATAAGATGGAGCAGATTTTAGCCAGAGCTCGTGCTACGCACGATGTCCTTAAAACGTATTCGTCGCCTCCCACGGTGCTAGGATCATTGCAATGACCGTTTCCCAGGATACGGTGGCTAACGAACGATCGTTTGAGCACACAAACGAAAGTCCCGGCGAACTGGAACAATAGCAGAACACTCAGGAAATTTCGGAGTAGCTGGAAGTGTTTTTAGCTCAAAAAAACATGAGGAATGTATTGTGTGTTGTGTCTTGTTGCAAACCACATGTCAGCTATGAATAGGAGGATTTGTTGTGTGTTAAATGGAGTGTTAATGGACCTGAACATTGGACATCAATGACCAGTCCGTTGGGCATTGAATCATCCATAAACTGTCCATTTAACGCTGCATTAAAAGACAAGAACGTTGGGCATTTAATGGCTTGGAGCAGTTCTGGTGCGCAATCAGAGTCGTGCCTGATGGGTTTTCGGACAACATTCGTGTCTGCAGGTCACCCGCGCACACGAGTCGCGGTTTTTCTTCTCCGTTTCGGGATTTGATCGACACCCCTCCTACGCGTAAGAGAGAGCCTTTACCTTTAGGAATCTTAACTCAAAGAGGCTTCCCTTTATAAGGGGGTGAAGATTCCTTGAGTTTTCCGGTGTGGGAT